TTTTGAAAGAATCACCTGTGTATTTATACTAAAACAATTATTTGCCTCAGCCTCAGTGAATATTGGAGAATATTTACCTCACTGCTCGAAGACTCGAGTCTCGGTAAATATTCCCTGATATTCACTTCGCCTTCGGCGAATAAATTGTTAACTACCCATTCTCTGTATACCCTTGCATACCATTATGTTCCAATCTTGTAAATTACCCCTGTATGCACTTGCATACCCTATATATACCCTTAAATAACCTTAGATATACCCTACTCATTAAATATTTGAAATATAACATGTAAGCTGACAGGCTGCATAAAATATTTGAGATATATTGGAAATGCCAATTCGCTGGCTACATTGTTTAAATATTTAAAAATTTTAATAATGGACAGAGACAAGGTTGTCCAAAATCATTTTGAAATATTTTATGAAAGCAACATAAAACGGCTGCTTATATCTCTGTCAGTACAGTGATATAAACACCCTGGGAGCTGTAGAGCACTGGAAAAGCAAGGGAAACACTTAATGATAACACTTAGATACACAATATGTTCTTTTAGCTAGCTTGCTTCTCTTGTGCTCTACAGCTTCCAGTGTGTTTATAGACATGCCCTTATGTTTTGTATTCCTTARATATATACCATATATTTTTGAGGAAAAGACTGGGCTAAGTTGGTAGTGTATTGTGGGACTGTTTTAGGGGATATATTTCCAAGATGGTGTCTATTTTGTCCTCAGACAGTTCCACGGAATGCACTGCAATGCCAACTCCATCCAGTTTTTTCTYATCTACTTGGATGAGGGCTTCAACTTCTTGATCAGTAAGGCACATTTCAAACACCGATCTTCACAGGAGCATGACATCCAAGAAGACCGCCTTTAATTCATTTTAACATTAGTTTAACATTTTACCTTTTTTTAGATATTAGAATATCTTATTATTTCACGAATTCAAGTTTTTATCCACAAATTCATTTTATGTATACTGGTTTCCAGTTTGGCCCACTGTCACTCATACACACTACCACTACATTAAATATTCTGTGAATGCAGCTCTCGACTCAGGTTGATTTTTACTGAAGGAGGAAAACCAGAAAATCTGAAGAAAAATCCTTGTAACAATAAGGGACAGAACAATGAACACATTAAACTAACTCAACTCATATATGATCTACCCCGAGCCGGAACTCGAACCCCGACCACAGTGGTGAGTGGTAAACCACTACGCCACCCATGCCACCGACAACAACTACAATTATAACTTTCTTCATATTTAATGAATGTACGAGGTTAYACAGGGTTTACTAGGGTATTCAGTGAACAAGTTAGAATTTGTATTTTTAATTAAGACCGGCATGATGTCACAGTAAAACTGTTTAAACATTTGTAGCTTGAAGACACAACACTCAAATTAGGCTTTTAAATCTGGTTCTTATTTTGCTTCTATTTATTGTTGATATAAAATATGCACATAATTATGTCCAAATAACTGCAATAGTTSCTTWCACAGTTCCTGGTGCCATCATCAAAGGTAGCTGTGCCTTTGAATCGAAACAAGACAAACGGGGAGCTTGCAATTATAGACACACCTAAACTTGTCCAAGGTGTTAAATAAAGGTATATATCTGTCTCGCCGTTTTTCTCGCTTCGATGCAAAGGCACGGCTATCTTTGATGATGGCACAGGGAACTGTGAAAGGAACTACTAAATAAATAGCTTATTCCAGGTTATCTTATAGAGTACAAACACTATAAGTGTGTAACACAGATACCACTAAATACTGCTAAATTATGCTAATCCTATTGTTTTCTATTGTTTAATTAGCACTATTTACTACTAAATAGTGCTAAGTGTTTCACATGTTTAGTGTTTGTACTCTATCTGTTTATGTTCGTTATAAACTTTAGAACTAGGCTCTTATGCGTGGTTTTTTATTGTACTAAACTATTTGTTTAGGCTTCAGTAGAGAGCAATGAAAGCTCAGAGTCAAAAACTTCAGAAATGGAACAGGAATGGGCCAAGGAAAGAATTACCTTATTACAGATTATAGATGAAAATGATAAGAAAATTAAAGAACTCGAAAAGGTATATCTTAACAGTATTTAGTTCACTCAGAGAGTTCAAAAATTTTCTCGTGTTTCTGCAACTCAGTTAAACGCCTCATCTGAAGGTCCCTTATTCATTCCAAAATGGCTACTAATTATGATTTGGAAATGAAATACTACCATTTAGCGACCCTTTTACCTCAGCTGAGCATCCCACATATTATTGACACAATTAAATTATTATTGAAGTATCATTTTTTCTTGTAGAAAAATTCTGAAGAAAATGAAGATGAGTTACTTAATGAGAAGGTAAGAAATTGGTTTATTTTAATTGATAGTGTTATTAATTGCTTCATCTTTATCAATTAGTGCGCGACACAGGTACATGATAGACCGTAACTACGAGACGTGTGTGGCTTAGATATATACATAGTCATGTATAGAGTAGTTCTATGTACGGTTTACTGGCGTATTAAAATATGTCAATATGAATAATCAATAGTTACTTATAACAATTTAGGAGCGCGCAATATAGGAGTTGTAATTGACAGTACAGAACAATGTCATATCATATTAACAACGTATCATCGCTAAAATACGAAAGTACATTAGTACTAAAGCAACTGAAGTTCTTGTTCATTCCTTTATTAGTTCCAAGCGAGATTTTTGTAACAGTTTGTTATACGATATACCTAAATACGAGATCGATAAGCTGCAAAATRTTCAGAATGCAGCTGCGTGCGTGATAACTGGTCTACATACGCTTTGATCACATTTATAATACATGTAATACACTTAGACAACTGCACTGGTTACCTGTTCCACAAAGAATAGTTTTTAAGATTAATCCAATATCTTTTAAAGTATTGAATGGTGTATCTCCTAGATATCTTCAAGATCTGTTGTATCGTTATGCGCCTGCGAGGCAGCTTCTTTCGTCCTCTGATATTTTTATAGTTTATTATTATTATTATTATTATTATTATTATTATTATTATTATTATTATCTCTAGCTGCAGTTTGTATAGAAAAGCTTTACTTGTTTGATATGAAAAGTCTCCCATGATCCCCCGGAGGGGAGACTCTCGCTTGAAAAGTGGGTAGGGAGACTCGACGGAATGTTTTGAAAATGACCCTAAGAGGTACGCGAGGTCTCATTTTCGACCCTAAAAGGTCCGTCAATCCCCTCTACCCACTTTTCAAGAGAGTCCCTCCCGGGCATGATCCTCAGTGATCTCAGCTTCCTACATTTTTGGTGAATAACTTTATTAAAATATGCTTAAAATAAGTACGTCTAGGCTACACACACGCCTCGTGGTCTTAAATACATACTTTCACATGACTCTGTCACGCAATTATCACAATTTTTTTCATAATATATTACAACCCAGACAATATTTGTCAAAATTCCAGAGGTTTGCTGGCATTACAGAAGTGCACTTTCAGTTTACGTGACGAAATTTGATTCTAACTTCTTCGTGTAGGAAAAGGAGGTATTGGAAGAACTGGAAAGATTACCTAAAAAGGTATTTATCATACTATATTCTAGTTGTACATTAAATACAGCCTGAGTGTATGTCTATAGTATTTGTAAAATGCGGGAAGTTAGTACTGAGATTTGATGGTGTGGGTTTTGGATGGCCGTTGAGGTAAGTTTAGTTTTTGGAGTACCAAATTTTATGAACTTCGCAAGATTAATTTCACGGGGAAACATGCCTTCAAAATTTTGACCCAGTCTTTACCAACCAAGGGAGCACGGCAGACATAAATTTGTTGATTGGTCTTCCTGTGATAATGACGTATGCTGATGAATACGGCTATCCGCGAAAAATAGCGTGGGCTCAAGTAAATATCAAAGATGGCGGCGTACATAATATTGACTGTCATGCATTTATTTGTATCATCCCGATCATCCGCCATATTTGTTTACTTATGAGCCCGCGCGACTTTTAAGAAACCGCATGCGCATCCACACCACAGGACGACCAATCAATCAAATTATGTACCACGGAAAGGCCAACAAGTTTATTTCTGCCGTGCTCTCCCTTGTACCAACTGACTGAATATCTCTCGCTATTTTTCATCAAAGTTCGGTGTTTGCTTTTGGAGTGTTGTTTAGAGTAAAAAAGGTCATAACTAAACATAACGTAAGTGCTTTCTTTCTTAACGGAGCACGGAAAAAGTTGTTTTATTCGTTTTATTATATAGTTATGATTTTATTTCGGTATTGAATTTATTTACGCAAAAAGAAAGACGGTAGCAGGATCTAGCAGCACTTCGCGCGCGCGGATGGCGTCAGCAATGTGCTCCGTTCACTAATAAAGCACAGCTTTCGACCAATCAGCGCCAATAATAGTTATATATATTGCAAAAGACAGTGAATTGTTTTGCAGCCTCGGTGACCCCTWAAGAGTTTGCATTTGTATGATCCTTAAGATTGAAACCTTAAAAGACGAAATAGAAGTTCTTAAGCTGAAAGTCAAACTGAAGGTAATGATTTTGGGTAATTAYTAGTTCTAGTCTTTAAAAAATTCCCTTTTAAGTTGAAGCTTGTGCTTTGTTTTTTTTTAAGGAACTCGAAAAAGAACAGCACCAGATACTAGGCCAATGATCCAAGACTTCAAATACCACGGCAAATGCTGCAGTAGCGTCAGGGAAGGAAGAATAAAGAATTCRCAGCAAGAGTTTCAATGGTTTTTAGACACTTTTGTTGTCATGTTATAGTTGGTTATTATAGGTAAACAAAGAGAGTAAATTATCTACCAGTGTTCCAGTTTTCTGTCATGCAATATCTTCTTAAAATAGTTGGGAGCTTAAACCCGGYTTTTAACGTACCGCGTACGCGGTGAGAATTATTAGAACGTAAAACTTTACTGGAATAATCTTTAAGGTTCTAAGAAAATACTGGTTAAAGTTTTTCTGGATATTCTGATAGGAAGTATTACTTTTTAGAATCCAAGTCGACCATAATAAACTTCGCACCTGTTATATCATATCTCGGTGCGCCCGTCATCCTCTCCCCACTCACGGCTGGACTCCCCTTAGTTGCCGTTGCTATGTCCAACGAGCTTCGCAAGTAGACCTCTTTAGTTTGGGCGTAATGTTTTCAGGCCACGAAATTGAAGCGTTTTGCGGCAGCGATCGCATAAAATACTTTATGACTTTCAGTCGTTCAATTGGTAGCCTGAGTTCAGCCGGTATATTTTCTCTTTAGAGAAATTGTACCGGCTGAACGCAGGCTACCAACTGCTGGTAGCCATTGCAACTTTCAAAATCTACCTTTGATTCGTTGCGGAGTTCGTTGCCAAAATTTATAAATTCTCACGGAAAGCATAACATGACTATGTATCATTATTTAACAATTATTCGCCAAAGGCGAAGTGAATATCGGGGAATATTTACGGTGACGTGAGGCTTCGAGCAACGAGGTAAATATTCTCCGATATTCACTGAGCCGGAGGTCAATAATTGTTCTAGTATTTTTAACACAAGTAAAATTAATAAATAGCGGAGGAAAAGTTTTGTTTTGTCGACGAAACGGCTCGTCGCCTTTTTTCAAAAATGCCTTCACTGTCATATTCACCTGTAGGTGAGTATAACAGCAYAACACGTAAATTCAGTGTGACCCAATGAGCGCGCAGGATTTATTATATTCACTTGTGTAAAAATGCTAAATTATTATTTAACTGTCGTTTGTGTCTTTCGCTAATGACGTTTCCTTTCGATATATCAATCATGGAGTCAGTTTTGATCTTGAAAAAGTCGATTTAGGTCTCTGCGTAGATGATGTAAGAAAAGTTACGGAGTAAAGTAGGAATGTTGTTCGTGAATCTACTAATAAGCGAATTATAGACATTCATCAGGGATGTTGTTAACAGAAACTGCCAATTGACTGGAAGAAATCCTTGGGAATCTGCTGGTGTTCGTTGTTTGACGCGGTAAGTGCTATTCAATTGAGCGTTTACAGTCAAAAGTGAAGCGACGGTTTCAATCTT